AGGACTAGTCAAGAGGAGGTGTCCTGATCCACAGGCACTGGAGGACTGGCAGGAGCTTTTGAAACCTCAGAGCCCACCCCCAGTGACACACTTCCTCCAACAAGGCCACACCCACTCCAACAAGGCCACACCTCCTAGTCCTTATAATCCTTTCAAACAGCGCCACTCCCTGGCAACTCAGCATTCACATACAGGAGCCTGGTGGGGGGGGCGTTCTCACTCAACCCACCACTCTGCTCTAACCACTTAGGGGAAATGGGCACCTGGTTGTAAGAAGGCTATCCTCAGTTTACCTCTACAGATGGGAGGGTTGGTAAAACTAATTAGGTGTATATTTATATAATATCTACCATGCAGAGGTTCTGACGTGGTCACCAGTGGGCAAAGATAGCCATGGAAGCATCACACTCAAGAAACTGCCGTGAAATGTCTTCAGTGTGGTCTCCTGAGGAGAAAGGAGCTGGTTTTGGTTAGACTATCCCGAGGAGGGGAGGGAAGGACATGTGACTTTTCAAGGGCAACCTCCTTGTCTTCATTTATTCTACTTCGACTTTTTTCTTTTAGTTGTTTTTTCTTTGTAAGTTCATTTATATTTACAATGCCTGAGTTTGTTTCGCCTGCATGTATATAAGTTCATCACAACATATGCATGTGTCAGGAGAGGGCGTCCGATCCCCCAGAACTGCCACAGGGGGTTGTGAGTCACCATGTGGGTGCTGGGATTCAAATTCCAGCCCTCTGCAAGAGTGGCTCTTAACCTCTGAGTCATCTCTCCAGCTCATGTTTGATTTTTTTCTGAAGGGATGGCGACAGAGTCTACAATGCTAATGAAGAGAGTCGCCCGCTAAACAGGTTTGAGGACTCTGAGTGTCCCCACTCACTTAGACACTCAGCCTTTCTCTAGAATGAGTCAGGGGAAGGAACTGAGCAAGGATAAAATTGGTCCATTCTGGTATCTGAAGTGTTAACTAGAACAACATTGGCAAGAAGTAAGCAGAGCATCAGAGCCACTAAGGCACTAGGTGGCTGACTGCTGCCCATACAATCCATTTTGCCTTTCATATTAACTGCTAAATATGTGCCTTATCCTCCCCAGATCTGAAATTCTGGCAGTCCTATTTGAAAGGCAATATTTTATAGCATGCATTAATACTCATGAGTTTGGATGCCATAGTCTGTCTTTCTTTCTTACACAGATGTCCAGAGACCTCAGCTTTCCATTGGCCAGTGTTGATCAGCAGACGTAGCCTTGCAGGGATAGCTCACTATAACCTTGTCTCCTTGCTCGCCAGACTGTACGTTCTGAGAGAGCAGGGGTCACACATTTTATTGTCCTCTGTGTTCTTAGAGACACAGACAGTGCTTGAGGCTTAATGGGTACTCAGGGGACATGACTTGGGTTTCTTGGCTTCCCTCAATGTCATCAGCCATGCCAAGAGGGGACCAGAGCCCTTGAAGGAAAGGGCGCTTCTGGAAGGGACGGAAGGACTCTTTCTGTGTCTGAAGAACCCATAGTCTAAGGTGTGGCTGATGATGCAGCTGTGCAGATGTCCTTGCCCTTAGTAACTGATTCCGGTGACAATTCCTATGCAGAGAGAAGTCATAAAAAGCCGGAGGGTGACCTTTTAGCCCATGTCTGCATCTACTCAACACAGTGGACCCTAATGCCAGGAGTCCACGTGGTTCTTGTGCCAGGAAGAGAGGGGCTACAGCCCAAGCCCTCAGCACCCTCCTGTCCCCTTTCCAGCCTGGCTCAACACTGGCAATGCTGGGAAGACAAGGGCAGTTGGCTAGACCCAGAGTCGATGAGGGTGGCAACCATTCAGCTAGACCCTACCACCTCTTCGAGGAGGCGGGGCAGAGCCAACCTGGGAGGGGTCAGTCGGGAAGCAGAAATTGTTGCCCCCGGAGCTGGGTAGGTTTGCTTTTCATTTGGATCAAGGAGAAGGTGGGCACGATTGAAGTGGAGGGAGTGGAACTTGAAGAACAGGGCAGATGCCCAGGTGTGTCGGCCCTTTCATGTCCACATCAAATGCCACCGGCGAGTTCCAGGGCACGGGTTTGGGGAGGGGGACCTGCGGGGCAGGCAGCGAGCTTCTGCTCTGAAGCAAGAGTAGAGCAAGCGGATGGAGACACAGCTCAGCGTGTACAGCAGACGTCTGGCTGTAGATTCTAGACTGTGATTCCCTGGGGCAGACAGTTAAGAGTGTTTCTAGATGAAAGAACGGTGGCGGATGAGACGGGGTAGAAACGCAGCCGGTGCACCGACTCTTTACTTGTTTGTCCGTCCGTTACCTTCACAAGCATCTTCAGCCTTGTTCTCGGGATCGTTGTTCACCGGGCAAGCCTGCAGGCCCCGAGGCCCACCCCAGCCCTGCTGAAGCGCAGTCCACCTGAACTGTAAAGCTTCAGGGGCTCTCAGCCACAAGCAAGGCAAAGGTCTGATCGATAGGAGAGCCGCGATCCCTGCCTGAATAGGGCTGCCCACAGGGTGCTGGGAGGGGGCACCTGGCAGACACAGCACCCCAGTGTGAGTTGATTGGAGGAGGCTGGGCCTGGGTGTGCCTCCTGCAGGGGCCACTTCTCAGAAAGGGTCACCAGTGGACCATTCCTGTCAGCGTCATCTCATGGCTGCCCAGGTGAGGACGCCTGGCTGCAGCCTGGGCGTTGAAATCACTGCTGGCGAGATGGGAGGAGCCCCTTTCCTGGACAGCATGAGAAATGAAGTAGTGAGGGGTCACAGTCCCTTCCCTGGTGGCCTCCCCAGGCCTTGAATCTCCCAGAATCCTTGAAGGGATGGAGACCTCATCTTTCCAAAGGGACTCTTCCGGGAATGTCCCCTCCCCAGGAATGCAGGGCAGCAACTGCCCAAAAGCGGTGCCAGCTGGAACGCAGGTTCCACAACAACCCTCCCAATATGGATCTGAGAGACTGCAAGTCTCCCCGGCACCTGCTTCCTGGGTGAGGAGACCCGGCATCTGGCTGCTGCTTGGCAGAACCCATCAGGGTGGGTAGATCAGAAGCCCACTCCCAACCCTTGTCTCTTGGAGGTCTCCTTGCTGTGTTCCCAGGAGGCCCCAGGGCCCTTGCCATCTCTAATCTGACAGGTTGCTTGTCCCCATTGGTTCCGGCTGAGTGTTCTAGATGGAAAATGTACTCCGTTGATAAACTCCACGTTATAAGGAACTCCGAAGTGAAGGCTTGGGCGCGGGGCAGTGACAACCGTTCCACCAAGAGTGTCCCTGGGATGAAAATGACAGTTAGAAGGGCAGAATGGGAGGCCTAACAGACTTGAATGATTCCATCCCCAGCATCCCGGAAACAGGACGGTGGCTCACACCTGTGATTCCGGTACTGCACAGGTGAAGGTGGGAGGGTCAAAGTTCAAGGTCATCTTTGGCTACACAGAGAAAGTAAGTCTAGCCTGGGATTCATGAGGACCTGTCTCAAATACCAAAGAGGGTGAAAAAGAGACAGACAGACACACAGACACACACACACACACACACACACACACACACACACACACGGCCAGCGGGAGGTGGCTTGGGAGCCTGTTCCCTTCCTCAGATTATATATTAAAAGTTGGTTGTGTAGGGAGGGAAGACCCTCCTGTAGTATAGTTCTCGGGAACTTTTGAGAACCTGGAAGGGGCTTTTCAAGTGACAGAGCTGCCTGGGTGTCCCCACGCTCCTGTGAGGGACCCCTACCCACGGTTCTGCAGGCGAGTCTAGCTGGGCTTAGATGAAATGGTCTGACTGTGTCTGGGGTGAAGAGGCACTCAGTGTGTCTCCCGGGAAAAGTCACACAGTGCCGTGTCATCAGAGAAGTGGCTGAAAGGCAAACCTAGGACCACTGGACTCCCTCATGGGTACTTTCCTGACTCCTCCTTACCCCAAGAGGATACGAAGACAGCATCCTCCTCTCTGAAGATCTTGCCAGTCTGGTCTATTATTAATTTTCTTTTTTTCTTTCAAAAAAAATTTTTTTTACTGCTTTATTTATCAGGAGGAAGAAGTATGTGCATGTCACCGCACACACATGGATCAGAGGACAACTTACGGGGATCGGTGCTCTTCTCCCACTGTGCGGGTCCTGGGGATTGAACTCAGGGCGTCAGGCTTGGCAGCAAGCTCCTTTAAGCACTGAACCATCTCACCAGCCCTTCCCTCTTTTCTCATGTATCTTCCATTAGTGTTGAAATTGCTGCTTCCAAACAGTCAAGATGTTGGGTTGTTCTTTTAGTTAAAAAAATAAACAAAAAATAAAAATAAAATCAGACACGTGAGGAAAAAGCCCACCCCCGTTCCTGAGATACTAATTGTGGATTTCTGGGGAGGTGTAGTAGGTAGGTCAAGCCGCAGCCTCCATCCAAACACTACACAGATGCTGTCAGAGCCAACGCCACTGGCTACCGCTGGGGGGGGAGGAGGTGGGTGAAAGTGTCCAGGGATTCCCTTGGTGAGTCCTGCAGAGGCATCGCCTGGAGGAAACTGACCCCAAATTGAGCAGGTGCAGCTGGCCCCAGGCTGGAAAGCATTCTGCACCTGTTCCTCACCCCAGGCCAAGAGGGGCTCTGCCTGACAACCTCTTCTCTCTTTCTGCTTTTGGGATCATCAGGGTGACACACTCCAAATCTTCCCTCCCACCTTGTTAAGGCAAATTGCTGAGCCTGCTCACTGTCCGCCTCCCCCGATGATCGTCAAGGGCACTTTGGGCTCCTTTTCTGTAAGTCTGATCTGTGCTAAATACTTTAAAAAATCCAAGCGGAAAGCCGCTGCCACGAGAGCCTACCAATTAGAGCCTGCCTAGTCAGGGCCTCTGAGGATAGCTGTCACCGGAGACCTCCGCCGCAGAGATAAAGATGGGATAGAGCATCCTTCCAAGGATGTCCCTCCCATCACTTCCGAAGCACCCTGGGCATGATTCTTAATAAATGAAGAGGCAGCGGCCTGAGGTCAGTTACCAATCAATACAGTTAGCATTGACGTGTGGTGGAATTCGGAAGCTGGCCCAGTGCAGTGTGATAGCTTTGCACGCGAGTCCTGCTTAACA